AATTATACAATTACTTATATATATATATACAGAAATGATCTAATGAGCACCGGTGCTCATCTTATCCTAAGCACCAATGAGTTGGCATATTAATTCATTGGTGAATTGAACTCACAAAATCTTTATCCACCAATGAATTAATGTGCCAACTTATCGGTGCTTAGGATAAGATGAACACCGGTGCTCATTAGATCATTTCTGTATATATATATATTCACGTGTACATATGCAGTAAGCAAATCATATCACTAGAAACCTCAAATTCCAAGGCATGATATATTTTCTATTTCTTCGGTGAGTGGGACATGTCTCAAGGTTCACCCATTTTAAAATCATTATAGCACATTGCATCTGTTAGACATGTATGACAATTTGTAAATCAAATCCCAAAGCTACTTTATGTTTAACTCTCCAATTTGACGTACTCCCATGTCCCAATTATATAGGCTGAATTTCCTTTTTCTCTTGTTCCAAATATATATACATGTTTTCTAGTGTAGAATATTTTGTTGTATTCATTTACCAATATACAATTATTAAATTGTAAAAACTTAATATGCCAACTTCTTGAAATCATCCAAATACACACATTTTTCACTTCTTGGAAACATGGAACAACTCTGATTTCTTCTTTTTATTCTTCAAATTCTTTATTAGTTTCAACAATAATTTAGTTTTACACATTGAAAATTAAATAGAGGTAAACTAGGAAAGATATTGACAAAAATTAATTTTCTAATGACATTAAAGAAACTTTCTTAATCCGTGTGAAAAACGAAACAATCCTATATAATTGGGACTGATGGAATATTTAATTATTTAAAAAACGTAAATAGCAAGATAAACACCAAATACCATAAACAAGTTAAAATTTCCAAGTCATTATATGAAATTACATGTCCAAATAAATTTTGTTCCAAATTTCAAATAAAATGAACAATTTCAAAAAAATTAATAAACTAAGGTTACTGCTAAAATTTAGAATTCAAGGCACGTTACACAAGATTCGATTTATTAATTCCAAATGTCAGCACAACGACTGCACTTTATCGCCCGCCAATCGACGACCCGTTCTAACCTGTGTGGAATAGGGAAATGAGTGAGTAAATGAGAATACTCAGTAAGACATAAAAATATGGGGCAATCCCGAATAAAATATGTAAATCATGCGTCAAGAAAAATTATACCGTCATCATATCTTTGAAAATCGATAAAAGCTCATATCATATCATTTGTACCGGAATGACCATATCATCATATCATAGAATATTATATCATATCTTTAACTTTCATAAATATAAAATTTCATCAACATGAAAGAAAAATAATTTAAACGTAATAAATCAACTGCACCTCATTTCCTACCTTTTTAGATTAAATTCTAAAAAAGATGAAATTTCCAATATCACATTCCAAGTATTTTTTTTTTCTGCATCGGTTGTGTTTACCGTGCATGAATATAGTTTTTGTGTGTATGTCGTCCATTACACATGTATCTATATACATCAGCATTAATAGCATGACCTTCAAGAGTTGGCACGTAGTGGGAAACGTGTGGAATAGGGTAGTTGGATAAAGGTGGGAGAAACAAAATAACAAACAAAATATTTGACTAAGTCTTGTCAATCAATACACTTTCATGCATGTGACAGTACTTATATTGAAAGGAAATTA